CCAGCGGCAGGTACAATTAGCAGAGTATTGTTCGCAACGGACCCAGTACGAAAAACCCTGGAACAACTACAGTCCACTAAATCGCCTGGTCCAGATGACATACCAGCAAAACTTCTTAATGAGTTTTCAGTACAACTGGCTTCCCCACTTTCCAAGATCCTGAAAAGTTCAATGGATAAGGGGCTCTGCTTGCCGACTGAAAGCTAGTCAACACAATCCCTATTTATAAGGGAGAGAGAACGTCGCCTAGAAGCTTAGGACCAGTTTGTCTCACAAGCATTTGTTGAAAACTAATAGAGAATATAATCAAAACAGAACTAATGACACATACTGAGGAAAACAACTTGGTAAGTGCAGTGTAACATGGATTCAGAAGTGGCCTACCTTGTCTCACTAACCTGCTAACATCCATGGAAAGCTGGACACATTCGTTGGAAATGGGTTTGTCAGTCGATGCGATCTAAATTGACTTTTGCAAGGCATTCGACAAGGTTTCACACAGACGATTAATATCAAAGCTGCATCAAATGGATGTGACTCGAAATCTGCTCAAATGGTTGACCGACTTTCTAACAGGCAGGCGTCAGAATTTTTGTATTCGAGACACCAAAACAGAATGGAAAACCGTTTCTAGTGGCGTTCCGTGGGGAAGCGTTCTGGGTCCCATTCTGTTTCTGGTACACGTGAACGACTGCCTTGATTGCCTCGCCTGTGAGAAACTCGGGTTTGAAGATGATCTGAAGATGTTTAATTCAATCAAACGCTCGACGTATGGGCAGAGCCCATAAAATGACTCGGAACACTTGCGACAGTGGTGTGATAGGTGGCTACTGCAGCTCGATTTCAACAAATGCTAAGTCATCCGCCTACGGTCTAGTTGCATAAACGTGATACCATTTGGACATAACTACTTCATCGGAGGTCACCAACTCGGGCAAGTGAAAGAACTAAGGGATATAGCTGTACACGTGACACCCACTCTCAAACCTTCAACGCACTGTGCTAAAACTGCAAAAAAGGCTATGGCAATCATAGGAGCGATCAGAAGATCCTTCCTCTATTTTGATGCGGAGCTGTTTGGGCAAATGTTTGGAACATCTGTTCGTCCGATGTTCGAATATTGCGTCCAGGCGTGGTGCCTCCTGGTATAGCAAGATTACGCAGCGCTGAAGAAAGTTCAAAGAAGGACGACAAAATTAGTCAGCGGCTTAGGAGGTCTACCATATGAAAGTCGACCAGAAAGGCTCAAGGTGTTTCCTCTCTATTATAGGCAATACAAAGAATATATGATCATGGTATTCAAACTCGTCAGAGGAGTAGACTGTGCTCTTCATATGGCTGTTTTCTTTGAAATGGCAGAAACGACATATCTCCGAGGTCATTCATACAAACTGGAGAAACACAATACCAAACTTGATATGTGGGCCGACTTCTTCCATCGGGTCATTGAAGTCGGGAACAAGCGTCCTTCCTCAGTTGTTCTAGCTAAAAGCGTTGGCGCATTTAAAAGAAGACTCAGTCACATTTTACTTACAAGTAATGCATTTGGTAGACAACAACGATTTATATAATGTACACATGTGGCATTAAAGCATATGTATTATTTGATAGAATCTATCTTTAATTATGGTTTTAAAAAGGCTTTGCAATTCTCCCTCGTATATACTGAATAACGTGGAGCGATTTTCAACACAGCAGACACTTCCCATACTGAATTCGTTTCCGAGTTCGAATCCGTTCTTTAATCAACAGAGACCTTGGAGGAAACAAAAGAGTTAATCCGCCATGAAACAGAATCGCTGCTTATGCAACATAAAGGTTTGAAACTCTTGGCCGAGAAGAACAGAGAGCAATAAAAAGCCTTCAGTGAGCATATTTGGAATAATAGACTGAAGCCCTTAAAACTGCATCGAAAGGATACAGGAATGCATGGGGTGTAGTTAAATACGCAAAAATTGGTGAAGAGCTCTTTTATTATAAAAAGTTGTATAGAAGTATTAAGGAAACATGAAAAAGAGGTGTTTGCCGAATAGCAGCGTACAAAACGTTTACTGCATATCCGCTGTGAAATAATCGTCTAGACCACCTTTGGTGTAAATTAAAGCTCTATTTAAATCAAACGAGTGGTATGTTTGTAGTCATTCCTGTTAGGTGAGTGTTCAAAATTTTGCATTGACCTTAAACAAATGTAATATTCTGACGTCTCTTAAACATGTTCACAGTGGGTGAATGCACAACAGACTCTGGCAAGGAGTTCCACTGTCGA